CCCTGTTGCCTGGCTGTCTGGCACAAGCCTCTTTTGCACGTGTGCCATCCCAAAAAGATTGTCCCAGTCGTCCCATTTACTTCTCCGAATGTCAAGGAACACGGAGCTAACCATCCACAGGTTGTCGGGTGCTGAAGCCACGGGGAGGAAAAGAAAAAGGATGAAGAAAAGGGCTCAGAGGTTTGAGAGTAACAGGAAGGACCACCCTCTCAGGATCCTCAGCGTCTACCAACGCCTACAGCATCCTTTCCTGGTACTTTCACGAGTGAATTCTTTCTGCAGAGGGAATAACCAATCGTTTAACAATTTCTTATCAGTCGCCTGTTGCCTTTACCCAGTCCTTCCTGCTTCGCTGAACTTTCACGACTCTCGTTTAATTTTTTATACCCGGGTCAGAGAGAAAGATGGCCAGTCGAATAAAGAGAGATGGTCCTGGTGGAGGTCCTGTAAGCTGTTATGCTTTTTGTCTCTCTATCTCTCTCTCCCGGTCCTTCGCTCTCATTGCGTTGATTCTGTTACTCTTTCTAGCACTGTTTCTCTCTCTCTCTCCCTCCCTCCCTTCCCTCTCTCTCTCTCTCACTCTCTGACTCTTTCGTTCACACGGAGGGGGAATCAATACACGAGCCTCCTGGTATTACCGAGGCTCCCGTGGCAGCAGGCCTCCACGAGCCACCCTTCTCGTTCTGGCAGACACCTTGTTGCTCCTGGCAGCGCGAATATTCGCCGCTTTGAAACAAGGCGTCTCCTGGTTGGTTAAAGAAAAGTTTTTTTGACGCGAAATTCAAATGACGTCCGTCGTGTCTCTTGTGCTTTGAGTTATAGAATTAAGATGGTATTGGCCATTTAGTGTATGTAATATATGATAAATGTATCGGATGGGTGAAAACGAAACGCCTGCACGGGCGAGCCACTAGCAATCCTAGCGTAGATCGTCTTTTGTCCAGGAATGGGAAGCGTCGGCAGCAACGCGACAGGGACCACGAGCCCGACGGCGTCGGCGTCCCTGCCAGACGCGACGCCGACGCTCAGCGAGCGTGAGCAGCTCAAAATCGAATTCTACAAAACGTACGACGTGATGACCGGCGTGAGGATCGCCGCGACCCTCGGCGGTTTCTTCAGCCTCATGGTGCTACTCGTCGTCTACAAGAGCAGGTGCGAGTTGACGCGGTCGTACCGCAAACTCCAGGCCTCGCACCATCATAGACTTTCGTAGGACGATGCTCTAGGAGACCCTGGATTTTCAGGTGCAAGTCGAGCAAGCAACTGGAGGATCCTAGACTGACGGCTGCGGCCGCGGCTGCGGTCGCCGAAGCTGAGGCTGAGGAGAGGGCCCTGGCGGCTGCGCTGGAGGCTATCGCCAGGTTACCTCCGAGACCTGGTCGTGGACCCAGAAGGTCCTTGTGCGTCGAGGTAACTTTAGTGCATTGACCTATTGATCCCTTTCTTTTTTTGGTCTTCGATTAATTCAATCTGGTAGCCACCCCTGATGCCCTTGATTTCCCACTAACACGTCCTAGACCACAGAGGTACAGCACTGCCACGTCATTTGCCAGGTCAATCAGTCTCAGCTGCCAGTGATTGCCCCACGCTTCGCATCCGTTGGTGGTGGCGGTGGGTACGACGGGCTTCTGGCGCCGCCTATGAGGCAGCCCAGGTTGGCACCACCAGCCGATCACAGAAGGTGCAGCTCCATCACCTGCAGCAGCACAGCCAGTAGCTACCTCGAAGGACGCGGTTCGGCCATGGCCATGCCCTGTCTACTGCCGCCCCCTTCCTTCCCGCGCCATGCTAACTACGAGGACGAACCCTGGGATCTTTATTATCCCATAGACATTCAGGTTAGCGTCCAAATTCGATTCTCTATTCCGTTATGGGAATGTACTTCCGGTACGACTTCAGAGGTACGTAGCAGTGTATTCTATCGCAGGTTATACAGCCGACGCCGGATATGTCACCGTGCGGAAGCGAAGCTGGTCTCTACGCCGGAGTGTCATCCACTCGTCGCGCACCTCTTGCATCCATGGGTAGCGTGGACCCTCCTGAACCCGACTCTAGGTCCCTGGGCTCCGATTCGGTTTTCCTCGATGACGAGGAATGCCTGGACACGGAGGACGAGGTCTCTGGGTTCTCAACTGACTCGGACGCCCCGGGACCCAGTTGCCGAAGGTTCCTCAGGGTTCCGCCGAGGAAGCGACGCACCCCGGAGAAGTGGGACGGATGTGCGGGCTGCGTGCCAAGACGACGAGCCGGTAGGACGAATAACGGCGTCCTGCCTCCCTGCCAAGCCTGCCTGACGATCAGCGCCGCCATCGAGACGCCCAGGTAACTCACAGATATCCGGCTTATCTGTCAAACTTTGTTTTTCCTTTGAACCCTTCATTGATTTATTTGTTTTCTTTCTGTAAAAGACCCAATTTACCTACCTATGGCAGATCGTCAGTCATATCGACCAGCAACACTATCAACAGCACCAGCTCCACAAGCAGCACCAGTAGCAAGAGCACCGAGTCTCCACCGCGTTCGCCGCCGATCGAGCTCAGGCATAGGCCAATGCCGCTGATGCCACAATCATCATTAGCCACCACGACGACGACGAGGACGACGACGACGACGACGTCCGTAGGAACGCCTATCTGGTCTCAGGAGACGCTCTTCTAGTCGCCGTTTCGCTATCTCTGAGTTTGATCATTGGACGCGGCCGGTTCCGTGGGAAAAGGGGAAAGAAGAACTCGCAGGCACGAGATCCCCATACGAATGCATACATATCTCCCATCGGCCCGACGGAACGCCACTCCATGTAATATGAAATATTTCCAATATGAATGAAAGCGAAGAACGCCGACTAGGAAGGCTCGTGCAATTGGTGCGACTGGTGCGAGGATCCGGGCACTAAAACCAGAGCAAACCCGGCTTAAGGTTCACTTCCTGGTGCATTATTGATAAGAGAAGCTGCGCGCATTGGGTTCGCCACCTTGGCAACAGCCGACCCTTTCCATCGCGGATCATCCCCTCCGTCCGTCGTGCTCGGTTCTTATAACCCGTCATGGCCATCGCCTTACAGCGACAAAACAAAAAACCCAACAGCGAGAGAAATACACAGAACCTAGTAAATAAATAGCGTCGAGGCCAATCAGTCAGTCACAGTCAATGAATAAAAGTGTTAGCAGTAGTGAAAAGTGTTCGCGATCGCGAAGGTGAAAGGTCAGACGACGAGGACCTAAGAGATCATCCCAGCACCAAGCACCTAGGTAAGTGGACTTGCCAGGACGCCAGGATATTCTTGGGGATCGTTAAAGCGCTAAGAAAATGATACGTGTTAAGGAATTATTTTTCTACGAATAACGTGATGATAATCAAAGTCGTGTCGTACCGTAAAGTCGGATCTGCACGGCAGCCTACCCGTTAACGTTAACGTAGCTGTAACTATTTAGTCAAGGCTAACCTAAGCCGATCATTGTTAAGGGAAAGAAAATCCCGCCTCGTTATTATTCTCATTCTTAATTAATAATCGTCTAAGCACGCGTGTACGTATATCCGTCATAATTTTTTTAATCGTTAATCATCCTTCTCTCATTGTTATCGCCATTGTTATCGATTCACGTCATTATTCCAAGCGCACGTCAGAGCCAAGAAAACGAGAGAGAAAGCCGCCAGAGACAAATGAAAAATTTATTCTACTCGTGTATCCTCCCGTAAACTCCTGTAAATTTTTAGTGTGCGTGTACGTGTCTAATATTCCTCCTATGCATATTACAGTAGGTACTGTGTACTGTTACGCAAGATCGATTCGTGCGCAATGCGAAGGCTCGTACCACTGTTTCTCCATGCCCTCTTATCTGTCTTTCCTTTCGCTTTACCCTTACCTCCATTCATTCCTATCACTCACTCATTCTTTCAATGTGATTACAAGTCACCTGACTGTCCTCTACCATCCTCGTTACACGAGTACAAGACATTTTTTACGTCACTCGTCAATATCATGGAGACAATTTAGCCCTCGCCGCCCACGAGTCGATCCTTACCCCTCTCCTGACCACCCTGGCAAAACCCCCCCCCCCACTAAATCTATCTCGAGCGTTATATATATATATATATGAGAGAAAGGGAACTAGCGTTCTAGCAAGACATCCTACGAAGCTATTAAAAAATATTAGATAGGTGTACATACTGTAATACGCTGAGACGTCGAACTGGAATATAACGTTGTCTATGTAAAGAAAGAAAAATTTTAAAATATATATATAACTCCGAGAGACGGGAGCCATGAGCTTTTCGCGAGACAGATATATATATATAAGAGCCTGTTAATTCATTTGTTCTCTTGACAAAATGGAATAAGCCGATCAATGCTCCGTGGCGGGAAAAACGAACAGCCAGTTGATATATAGGGTGGACTAATAAAAAAACATAAGTAGTTAGCTCGCGGCCATGTACGAAGAGGCATTGCGTCTCGCGGAAATGCCGGCCTCGTCTCCGAGCCGTAA